TTTATATATTTTTATTTTTATATATTTTTTATTTGGATGTAACGGGGGCTGTGACTCTTAATTTCGTTCCATCTCATGTAACATGTGATGTGAATGACAATAAAGTATCTTGAATCTTGAATCTTGAATCTTGAATAAAGCAACAAAAAAAAATTTAAAAATTGCAAAATACCCCCATTAAACAACAGAACTCAAACCTACAATTTAAGAAACTTCAATCATTAGTTAAATGTGAATTACAAATGAAAACAATATAGTTTTTTAATTCTTAAAATGATAATTAACTGGCCAAGTGTAACAAAACTAAAACCAATAAGCACATAAGTCTGTGTCACAAAACAAACCAGAGGGAAACTTTTTGATTTGACTTGTGCGACTAACAGGATGTGTTTGACAAGCTGCAGGAAGTCTCGTAAACCTGATGCTGGCTGAACAAATAGGTTTAGACGTTTGAGCACGGGGGAGAGATCATTTCAAGGCTGCAGCCTCAGTAAACATGTTGCAGGTTTCTGTACCTTTGAGGGTGGCCTTCTTCAGGACCTTCATGGCATAGAGCTGGTTGGCATCAGGAGGGGTCACCTTCCGCACAAGGAACACCTGAAAAAAATAAAATAAATAAATAAAAACACACTTAAAATCTAACATCTGCACATCAAAGGAAAACAACAAAGTAATATTCAACATCAGATACACAGAGAGAGGGTGTTACCTTCCCGAATGATCCCTGCCCCAAAACTTTGAGCAGCTCAAACTGAGAGGCGTCGGCTTTCTCTGAGCCCTCTTTGACCACATGGGTGATGTTGATCTCCTTGATGTCTCCATCGTCCTAAAAAGTGAGCAGAATCAGCGGGTCAAAATGACAAATAACTGATGATAATCAGTGATTGTTAGGTTGGACAGATCTGCAAACAGACGTGCAAACAGCACTATATCAAAATAAAACTTCTAAGAAAGAGGAAGTGCAGTGAAAAAAAACACGTTCAAGCATGAGAGATAGCACCCAGCGGGCTGTGATAAATGAGCTGCAGGGTTATTGTGTTTCTGGAAGTGATGGTGACTGACTGCAGCGTTAGGTGGAACTGCAGAACAGTAACAGTAAACTTCGAAAAGGGAAGAGTGGTGGTTGGCTGGCTGGATTTGGACACACACTGTTAAAAACCACAAAACAGACTCTCTGATCAGGAACTTTAAAGAGAAGTTTGCAGGTTTGAGTATTAAAAGTCAAAACTACTGAACAGAAGTTGAAAAGTTTAACACACCAGGTCATTTCTTTTCTAATAAAAACACCAACAATTAGCAATTATTGAAGGAACCTGTATCGACCACCGGCAGTTTTAGACAAAAATCATCTCGTAAATAATATATTCATGCTCGAAACATGTTGAGGATGACTCTCAGCTACTACCAAAACCAAATTCTAGCTCTGAGTTCAAGATGTTTTTGTGTTAAATTCAAATGTGGTGGCGGCCATCTTGAATCCAGCTGATTCCAAAAGATAATCAGTTGCAGGAACAAAGCAAGGATTACATTTTGAGTGTTTAATTGCAATCCATCCAGACATTCATGGGATATTTTGCTAACAGACAGGCACAGCTGACTCTGATAGTAAATGACAAGCTTCAGTCACAACTTGTATTATGTGTTGTAAATGACTCTCAGCTATTAAGACGCCATATTTGAGCTCAGAATCTATAAAAAATGGCTGAGTTAAAGACATTTTTGATGTTTGATAATGTTATTTAGCTGTGGCGGCCATCTTGAATAGGGTTCAAATCTGTTCACTTGTTTACTAGATGTTTTACTAACCTGGCATTCAATTAAACACACATTATTACATCTTTTTTTAGTGGTGGGTGATAAAGGCAGTATTTTATGTTCAGCAGAGGAAGGCAGTATTTTATGTTCAGCAGAGGAATAAAACACTTCCCTGTGAAGTTTAAAGATGAAAACAAGTAGTAAAGTTGTACTTATAAAGCAGAACTGGTTAACAGGTACTGAAAATGGAAATGCCTACTTCCAAAACAAACTCCTAAAACTGAAATTAAAACCGGTAACAAAGTAAAAGTTCACATCTTCAGGCCTCGACAAAGAAGTAGTGATTTTCATCGCTTTATAAGTTTATAAGTTACAAAAAAAACATAATTTTAAAGTGTATTAATTTCATTAAAAAGTATTTAAGCCTGTTTGATTTTAACTAAAAGCAGCAAAAATAAATAAATAAAATAAAATAAACCTAAAAAAAAACAGCCACAGATTACAACAGCCTGAATTGTATCTGACATCAGGAAACCAGAGCYTCTTCAACACTCAGGCTTTCTGAACAATATCAATAACAGCCAAACAGAACACAACTCGCACTTCGTCGCGTTAACGAATCTACTCTCTCTGCACATCAGCTGGAGGAAATCACTACGGGCCAAAACAGCTCAGGATGTAAACAGGAGCAGGCATGTCGAGGCATGTTGTTACCATCCACTGGTTCCTGGGTTCAGGTGAGGAGTCTGGTGCGGCGGCGCAGGTGTCACACTGAGCAGGACTCCCAGCTTTGTTCTTTCGGAACAGATGAAGGGACAGCACGTGGCTCAGCTTGAACTTTTTCTTCTCCTTTTCCATCTCAGCATCTTCCAGGCCGTTTTAAGATCCCACCTCCATCCATTAACACGGCGACACACTTCACAGAAAGTCACCTCAAAGGTCCTCTCTCCTCAGCGGGGGCACACCTCAGACTCCTCTGTGAGCTCATGTTAAGATGTGCTCGGCKCGCTGCAGGGGTTTGGGGCTTGTTTCTACGCTCCTGCAGCAGGGTTCTTCTGTTATCATTTTACAAAATGCTCCTTTGTCATTTTCTCTTCCATTACAGGTCCCGTCCTCGTCTCGTCTACGTTTGTCTGATTAGACCTGCGTCCTTTACTGAGTGAAGAGAGCTGCAACTAAAACGAGCAGGAAGGAAGAGCCTGCCCTCATTCTCACAGTCCTGAAACTAGTGGAGCACAAATGTGTGTGGCTGAGACACAGAAGAGTGAAGGAGACTCAGCTCAAAACTCAGCAGAAAGTCACCCAAGCAAGGAAAAGGCCTTGCATTTCTCAAAGGAATGCAAATCACCCGCCGCCTTTTATGTGCAACCTGTGCTATACTGTAAAAGACTCTAAGTACTAAGTAAAGCAATTATGTAACACCAAGTGATTCACAATAAAAGCACAAAAATTAAAAGTATCACAATCAAACAAAGTACAAGTAAAAGCAGATTAGAATATAAAACTTAAAAATATCAGAGTGGGGTAGTAACTACTTGCATTTACTTGAGTAACTGTTTTGGGGAAAAATGTACTTTTAGAAYTTTTACTACACCACATTTTTTACTTTACTTGAGCAATATTATTTTTAAGGATTGCTACTTTTGCTTGAATAAAATTTCAGAATCATCTGTAAGTGAGACCTCTTGTTTATGCACAGTATATACATTAAGTACTGTAAGTATTAGTTTCATTTAGGTTTTTTTCTGCTTGGTCTTCAGAGGAGTCGGACGCTTTTTMTTCTCTCTCCTGAACCCGRCCCATCTTCCCTGCTTTGCAGCTTTTTCAAYCCTTTCTTCTATCTATCATCCGAAAAGAAAAGGAATTATGGATTTGGTCAACTGGTCTCTGAACGCKATCGACACTATTTTTTCAACACTGAAATTGGAGCGTGGGGAGCACAGCTGTCCCAGTGGAATGGTGGCGGCCGGGCGAGTGTCTGGCTCTTGAGGGTGGAACRTSATCTATTTGGCGCCGCTTTCCATTGAAGACGTGGAAGATCTGTATATATTTGGATTTATGATAACTGGATTCCTGGTGATCAGTTGTGGAGGAGTCCTGGCTTATCAGAAAATGAAAGTGATCCTGACAGCAGTTCGGGCATGTGAGAAGCTGTCAAAAACATTGGCTGGAGTCTCCCATGTTGGAAATGTACAAACTCAAATGTTAGGGGATATAAGTCGCAAATTGGATGTGATTCTGACAAGAATCCCAGTTCAGCAGCGTGAGGAGTAGGATTACACCTGGGTGAAGTTTCAGACGGAAAGAGAGGCAAGGAGGTAATGAATTTGGAACATTGGCCTTTTTGCCATCATAGAGATGCAGTTAAGACTTAAAGCAGAGAGAAAATCAAGGATGCTCGCCCCAAAACAATTATGTTTATCTTTTGGATCCCTGCAGCTGCTGACCTTGGCTCGGCAGTTATCAAAACTCCTTGGATGGCACGTGAAACAGAGGATTGACTCCCCATCCCCTACCCGTATCACCCATGGGTGGATCAGTCTGAAGGCCACGACAGGTAGAGACAGAGAACTGACTCTGGTGATTTGTGCTTTGGTTGATAACTTGTTTTGGACTCTGGAGGTCTTTGATTGGTTCCAGCACGGATTATTAACCTGAAACATCACTGGCTCCACTGCATTCCACCCCATARCATGTGTTTGAGCCCCAGCCCCTCCCTTCCTTAGTTGCCTTGCACTCGTGAGTGTTTTTTTTTTTAGCGTATGATTCTGTGTTTCTGTGTGTAAACATAGGATCAGAGCACCTTTTTTAACCTCATCTTTCCTATTGTGTGTAATCCAAGCTGCAAAAGGTAGTGCGACTGTCATTGCGAAAGACCTTGGACATTCGTTCCCCCATGTTTGTTATGTGCATCTTACTCCGAACGGATGTTCTAAACTGCAATTTCGTTCTGCATTGCATCTTTGACGTTGTGTGTGAATGACAATAAAGCTGATTCTGATAAGTTTCATGACAAGACAATTAAGACTTGAAAAAGTGCTTCTTTTGCTGGAATTTATTTTGTAATTAATTTGTATAAATTTTCTTAATTCTACTCCTTAAAAACACCAGAATTTGCACATAGCTTTCAATTTTGTGTCAGTCTGATGACATTGATTAAAAATATTAAAGGGGTGATATTATGTGCTTTCCAAGCCTACATTTCAATTTTATACTAAAATAAAGTAACTATGTCACATTTTCAGCTTATGAAAGAGCTATATATTTGCAGAAATCCCCAAAACAATTTACTTCTCATCTTGACAGTTTCTGAACGCCTTGAAATAGGTCTCTGTCTCTTTAAGGAAATCCAACCACTTCGGTCATGCCCAAGCCTGCCGGAGTCGCGGGGTGTGTGTGTGTGTGTGTGTGTGTGTGTGTGTGTGTGTGTGTGTGTGTGTGTGTGNGTGTGTGTGTGTGTGTGTGTGTGTGTGTGTGTGTGTGTGTGGAGGGGTGTCGTGCGTGCGCTATGATGCAGTTCACTTGGCATCTGAAAATACATTTCCTCAAAGGTATTTTTAATCTGAAAAGAGTGAGAAGTAGTGTTGAGAGCTGCAGACAATTTTAAGTTTCACTTTCGCTTTCCCTCTTTGCTTAGTTACTGCCAAGCGCCTGCAGGAATCATGGGCGGGATGTGTGGGGTGGGGGATGGGGAGGCGGGCTCCGTGATGAGGAAGCTCGGCTTAAAGACACATCCCAGAGGCTTTTCTGGTCCCAAAAGGCGTTTCTGGTCCCCACCTGTCGTTTTGCTCCTCAGCATGGCTGCCTAAAAATGCTGCAGGATTTCTCAGACATGCATGAATGAGTCTAAGTAAGGCTTTGGGCATGTTTTTTTTATGAGAGTATAACATTATAACATAATATAAAACTCAAAAAAGTTGATTTTACACGATATTGCCCCTTTAAATCAGATGTTATGATCTGCCACTCATCCTTTTTTACGAAACACTTTTTTTCACTCTAACTCGAGTAATTTCTGGGATGACTATTTTTCACTTTTACTTGAGCAAAACTATGTTGAAGTACTGCTAC